TTGGCCTCAGCCGACTCCAGGGGTTCGAAGGGGGCCTCAGCCAACGCTTCGAGGACCACTGCAAGGTCCCAGGTGGGAACCCTGGTGCGAGTCGCGGGTCTCATCCTCCAGGCTCCACGGAGGAAACGTACGACCAGCTGATGCCTCCCCAGAGGCCCATCACTCAGAGGAGCGTGGAAAGCCGCAAATGGCAGCCACGTAAACCTTGAGCGTGGACGGGGTAAGCCCAGCAGAGAAGCGGTCTTGGAGAAACTCCAGTACTGAAGCAACCAGGCAGTTAACTGGGTCCAATCCACGCTCTCTGCACCAAATGGAAAAGCATTCCACTTCAGGCCGTACAATTTGCTCGTGGAGGGAGCTCTGGAAGTGAGTATAGTTTCTACTACTCCCGCTGATAGGCCGGCTTCTAGGTACTGTGCCCCCTCAGGGGCCAGACCCACAGTTTCCACAGCTCGGGCCGAGGGTGGAGAACTAAGCCCTCTGCCTGGGACAGCAGGTCCCTCCTCAGAGGGATCTGCCATGGCGGGCCTGCCAGGAGTGATATGATATTGAGAACCATACTCGGGCCGGCCACAACGGGGCTACTAATATTAGGCTGACCCCGTCTCGACGGACCCTTTCCAGAACCCCCGGGAGCAGAGCGATCGGGGGAAATGCATACAGACGCAGCCTCGGCCACGTCAGCACCATAGCATCCAACCCCGAACACCGCCAACATTTCCAGGCAATTTATGTGCCATAAAGAATGGTGGTCCTGCCAGAGACCTTTCGAAAAGCGTCCGTCCATGACCGCGCCCCAGCCCATGAGGGAGGCGTCTGTCGAAATAATTTTCCTGCGACATAACGCTCCCAACTTGGGACAGAAACCAAGGTTTCTTCCATATTGATAGGGAACGAAGGCATCTGCACGTAACCCTTATCATTCGGAATGGATTTCCCCACGAGGAAAACCCCTTGGCTTTCAACCACCACTGTAAGGCTCTCATGTGCAGCAGGCCAGAAGGTATCACGCTGGACGCTGGCACCATGAGACCCAACACTCTTTGGAAGTGTTTCACTGTGATGGTGTGGCCTAGCTTCACCCTGGTTAGTGTGGTAGTCAGTATGGACTCGATACATGCAGGAGACATTTGTGCCTGCATCGTCGTCGAATCCCATACCGACCCCAAGATCGTAGTTCTTTTTCGTGTTGAGCCTCAACCCCAAGCGCTGAATATGCATCTCGATGCCGAACTGCCAACTCTCGAGACTGGGCCAGGATGAGCCAGTCGTCGATGTAATTCAGCACGCGGATGCCCTGGAGCCTCAGTGGGGCCAGAGCTACATCCATACACTTGGTGAATGTGCGAGGGGAGAGTGCTAGGCCGAATGGAAGAACCTGATATTGGTATGCTTCGCCCCCGAAAGCAAACCTCAGGAACCTCCTGTGAGATGGAAGGATGGAGACGTGAAAGTATGCGTCCTTTAGATCTATCGTGACAAACCAATCCTCGTATTGGATTTGACTCACGATGATGGGAACGGTGAGCATCTTGAACCTGAACCTCCTCAGAGACCGGTTCAAGTGCCTTAGCAACCCTCCATCCTTCTTGGGAACTATGAAGTACCAGCTGTAGAACCCGGACTCCCTGGCTGGTGGAGGAACATGCTCTATGGAACCCTTTTTCCAGCAGCGAGTGAACTTCCTGTTCCAACACCAGACCCTGCTCTGGGTGAACTGAAGTCCAGACCACCCCGTTGAACTTTGGTGGGCGGACCTGGAACTGCAGTCTGGAACTGCAGACCCCTTCGAGGTCTCATAGGAGTTAGGACCTCTTCCTAGACTGGAGGACGGTCCTCGGATCCGTCTTCTCGGGAGGCTGTGGGTGAGAGCGCCGCCTAGAGTCCCAAGCTTTTTGAGGGGGACCTCTAGAAGCAACACTCCGTTTCTGGCTTTGGCGGTAAGAGGAGCTGGATGATGGCTGGGGGTGTTTCTCTTTAGCAGCCCTCGTAGACCTTGAACGGCGAGGGAGATACTGCCTGAATGCTTCACTCTGCTTTTTTGAGTCCTGAAATCTGTCGACGCCTCGCCGAACAGACCGGTGGTAGCAACGGGTGCGTCAAGGAGGAAGGCCCTGTCCTTCTCCTTTATGCCGGAGAGATTAAGCCACAGATGCCTCTCCGTGGTTACCAGTGCTGACATGGAGCGACCAATGGCACGGGCCGTCTCCTTGGTAACCCGGAGAGACAAATCTGTGGCTTTGCGAAGCTCAGCTACATCCTCCATAGTAGGACCCTCGCCTTGGTCCATGTCTCTTAACAGGTCGGCCTGGTATGCCTGCAAGATGGCCATCGTGTGCAGGCTTGCACCAGCCCGCCCCGCCGCCATATAATCTCTGCCCACCAAAGCAGATGTAGTACGACATGGCTTGGTGGGCAGTGCCGGTGTTTTAAGAGATGATGCAAGGTCGGGTGAGAAGTAACTGGCCAAAGCTTCCTCAACCCGAGCCATCATTCCGTATCCGTTCTCTCTAACCCCCACAATGTTACTATAATTTAACATCGGGGGGGTTAGACAGGCGTGCTGAACTCCTTGTGTAAATCCAGGATAAACGGTAGAGACCGGCGTGGAGGCTGTGCGCGGTGCTGCAGGAAGCGCTCGTCAAGTTTGCTTTTAACACGCGCTTCCTGCCTCTATTGTGGCCAAGAAATATCAAGTTTGGCCACAGCCCACGTTATAACCTCCAAAAGCTCATCATAACTGGGCACAGACTGATTAGACTGTTGTGTCTCATTTAAATCCCCCTCCACAAAGCTAAGCACATCTAATTCCTCAGAATCAGACAGCTGCAAAACCGGGTCTACATTCCGAACGGGAGAAGCCGCGGGGCGGGCTCCCGAACGGGGGATAGGGGAATCTGAGCTTTCAGATGAGGATTGGGAAAGTGCCTCGGCAGTCCAGATCCCCTCTGAAAGCTCTCTTTGCGATCCCCACGATCTAAGGGACCTGAACCGCGGGGAGCGCGCATCTGGCCGTGCTCGGAAAACAAAGCCGTCCTCGGAAAACAACGCAGCACTCTTACGGAAAGAGACTCGCAGTGGCCGCAAGCAGCCCCCTCGAGAGCTGCCTGGGCGTGCTGCATTCCCAAACAAGACACACACATCTCGTGTGTGTCCCCAGCTGTAATATAGTGAGGGCATGGGAACACACACTTTTTAAATTGCTCGCTTGCCATGATGAGAATATCTATAGTAACAGACAATACAACACCAAATAGGATGAACTGTTTTTCACAGACACAGAGCGCTTGCTGAATAGCAAAAAGCTGACATTTCTGTGTGCCGGCGTGCTTTTGTATACATCCGCTTATGCCGCCACATGCTACGTCATCACGCAACGCCAATAGGATTGGCTTCGGTTTCATTCATAAATTCAGACGCGCTACGCTGAAGGGCGTTCCCATAGTGCCGTCACGACGCAGTTCGAGTTCCCTCGAAAGTGTTATTGTCTGAGGTTGTTTATCTGCAACATTCGCTGATGCGCGTGGTGTGGCGCGGCTCATAACAAGAATGTTTTAATTACAAGAATGTTTTAAATGAATGCTGCTGTTTTTGTATTAACACATATTGATGAAAAGAATAACTGATGAATTTATATATGATGTTATTTCTGAATTTCAAAAATACATTTCCAATGATTCACCAGAACTCCTTCCTCTGTGTCTTCCTTAACAATGCTCAATGCGTTAATGCGTCAATTTAATGAATAAATAATTTAACGACTAGTCGACTAGTCGTCGACTGTTATGCAAAACTAGTCGACTAGCAAAAATCAGTAGTTGTGAAACCCCTACTGCGAGTGCATTCACCGTTAATCATACCAATGAAGGAATGAACAAACTTAAATTCATTAGATTCCTCCTGTTGCTGAATTGAAACTTTGTAAAAGGCAAAAAACCAGTAAAGCAAAAACAGATAGAACAGGAGAGAAGGAACTAGAGGTGGAAGAGAGGAACTTGCATGCAAAGGGGGGCTACGCTTGAGGGGCTGCAAACGTTGGGCAGATGCACACCGAAAACAGGAAGGTGAAAGTAACTGAACACAAATGAGTCTTTGTCTCAGTAATAGCAAATGCGTTTGTTTCTTTTGGAGGTGAAAAGCAGCGTAACCAGCCGTGGCTGTAAGAGGAACTTCCTGTCTGACTTTCAAAAGTGCAAAACAGAGAGGCTGACTCAACTAACAAATAATGCAGGAAACAATGAACCGTTTATTTAACCTTTCACCAGCGCCCATTTTTACAGACACTCGTCATTTGCCAAAGGTTATAGAGTCACCCTAATTAAACTTCATTATAGAAAGGCACTCAAAAGAGCTGTGATTCGTTGAGGCTACGATGAAGGATATTTACAGCCCAGCCGTAGTCAGACAGTCAATCAGGGCTGTATCATGAGTGAAATACAGCGCTCTGTCACCGTAAGCAGGCAGCACAGAGGCACTGATGGCATGTCACCTCCATTTTGTGATACTTTCAGGCTTTATGATCCATAGGTGGTCACAACTGAATTAATGAACAATGCGACGCATGCAATTTCACACCACAGCCAACCTGGCGTCAGCTTCAGACCCATTAACTGCCACCGGTGCTGATTCTCTATTGATTCAGCCAAGACTCTGGGTCACAACCTGTGGCGCCAAACCCCGAGCAGCATCTTTACGTCAGTGCGGAGGAGAGGAGAGAAATATAACGGTGACACTCCATAAAGCAAATTATAGATGCGGCTGCCTGCTGGCTTTGTTGTCACCGCAACGTGATGCATGGGCTTTATGATGTCAGCGAGGACCTTCTCTAATAGGAAGTGATATCTGGCCACTTGGTTTCGGGGAGCGGATGACTAAGCATTTCCTGTAATGACTTGAGCCCTGAGTCAGGTTGTATTGGTGTTCTGTCAAGTCACAGCTAGAGGCTCCGCTGCCTCTAAACAGATCATTTAACCAGGAGAGACCCATGGCCCCTTACATACCTGTTCAGGGTTGTACTTGGAGAGGACACCATTTCCATGAAACTCTTCAAGGACATCTTTAAGCTTCTTGGAGGAATCTGTGCAAGAGAAAAATTAAAAGGATTAAAAGGAAAAAATATTAGTTGGATATAGAGTACATCTGTACATACTGTTTAAGTGTAGATACCCCATATTGGCATGGAAATATTTAGATGCAGTACTGTTTAAAAGTTTTGGGACAATTTTTTTTTTTAAAGAAATTGATACTTTTATTCAGCAAGGATTCATTAAATTGATTAAACGTGACAGTAAATACATTTATAATGGTTTAAAAAGATTTTTATTTCTAATACATGCTGTTCATTTGAACTTTCTTTTCATCAACGAATTCTGACATTTTTCACTGTTTCCACCAAAATATTAAGCAGCAGCACAAAGAAATTCAATATTGATAATAATAAGAAATGTTTCTGACTGTACGTACACACCGCCGCCGACTTGAGCTTCCAAAGTTACCGGAAGTCATTCATTTTCAATGGAAGCTGGCTTCTCTCAGCTGCAAGGAGCGTCAAATCCATCGGCGTCGAGAGCGTCAATCAGAAAGTTTAAAGTAGCTCAACTTTATGGTAATGAGCCATGACGCGGTTCAGCGGCAAGCAGCGGCAAAACGCCAGCAACCAATCGATTGCGCAAGATGGCGTCCTGCTAAGTTTACATCCATCGGGCTCTGCTGACAAATCTAATTTTAACAGCCAAACTACCCTACGTACAATCTTGTTACGTGTTTATGTTTACATAAATACTTCATAGTGCTCCTCGATAACCTAAAGATGAAATCTGCTGCTGACAAAAGAAAGGAAAAAGAGATGTCGCGTGCTTCACGTGTGTCCGAGAGCTTCCACAACTATTCGTCTCCCGGTGAAATCCTCGTATCTACCCCGCTTCCAGAGAGCCCAGGTAAGCCCCCATCAAAGAAAGGCAAAGCAGAAGACGATGCTGTGGTTTCCACTCTCTCACAGCTCATAAATAGTCGCTCGGATGCCCTGGAGAAAATGGTGGGTGACAACGCGCTTAAAATTGAAGGGCTAAAAAAGACGGTGGACTTTGTATGTGCTGAGTTGAATGATATTAAGGGGAAAGTCGGCCACATCGAAGTTAGACTAAATACTGAAGAAAAAAAGATGGAGCTCTGCGAAATGAGAATTGCAGACATGGAAAGATACTCTCGCCGCTGGAACCTGCGCTTGCATGGAGTACCTGAAAAGGAAAATGAAAATGCCAGAACCGAATCTATCCGCATCTGTACAGCCATTTTTCCAGAGGAGAGCAAATCTCTTCCAGATAAGATCGACACTGTCCACCGCATAGGGAAGAGGCTTCTGAATACTTCAAGGCCGCGCGCGATCATCATTCAGTTTTCCTCACGTGTGATGAGAGATGGTGTGTGGAGAGCGGCGAAATCCTCAGAGTTCCTGCGGGCGAACGGTCTTCGATTTACTGAGGATCTTACTGCTTTTGACCGAGAAAGGAGGCAGTTGCTGTGGCCGGCTGTTGAAAAGGCCCGCAAGGAGGGGAAAAGGGCACATTTTGTCGGACACCGTGCATTCATTGAAGGCTCTGAAATTAACCCCGTGTAAGCCTGTTCAGACAGTTCATCTCTTTCCAAATAACGTTGAGCTTTTTTGAGCTCTTCCTTTTCGTTATGGAGCAGGACTATTGATGGCTGTAAGCGTGCCTGATATGGCCTTGTCGTCAGCTGCTTTTGCGTTTCCAACCTCAGTAAGCTCGGTTATTTGCTGTTCATTGTTCAAAGAGTTATTTTTGTATGTCTATTTCTATTATTTCTCTCAATGCCAGGGGTCTAAGAGACATTACTAAACGGAAGGCTTTGTTTCTGTATGCCAAATCGTTCAAGACTGATTTTTGTTTTTTTCAAGAGTCCCATTCCGTTGCCAGCGATACTGCTTTTTGGAAAAATCAGTGGAACAATGATGTTTGGATGGCTCACGGTTCGGAGTGTTCAGCTGGTGTTCTGACTTTGAAAAACCTCTTTGCAGGGGACGTTCTGCACTACTTTAGCGACCCGAATGGACATTTTCTGCTTATCGTCATTAGTTTAAATAATACTGTGGTAATACTAATTAACATCTATGGGTATAATAGTTCTCGTGAGAATGATCTACTGATTGATGCGATAGAAGGGAAAATTCTGCTGTGGCTTAATGCTTACCCAAATGCCTTAGTTTTCATTGGTGGGGACTTTAATATTGTACCTGACAATAATCTCGATAGACTGCCACCTAAACAGTCTGCCTCTGCTAATCCTAAAATAAAAATACTAATGGATAAATTTGATGATATTGATATTTGGAGGGAAAAGTTTCCGAATATTAAATCCTATACTTGGAGTAATAAAAATTGTTCTAGACAGTCCCGAATAGACTACTGGCTTGTTTCACAATCTGTTAGGGATTTTAATGTTTCTGTTAGCATTCTCGCTTCACCCATGACTGATCATAAAGCAACTCTTATCCAATCCCCTCTATCATCAGTTATTTCTTATTCAAGACCTAGAGCCTCTTATTGGAAACTTAACTCTTCTTTGCTTAAGCATGATCAATTAAGGAAAGATATTTTATTCTTGATTGAAAATTACTGGATCAAAGCACAAAAGGAGAATAAATACGGTCTCAATTGGGAACTTCTGAAACATGAAATTGGCAAGTGTGCTAGGAATTTTGGCAGTCTTCTAGCTAAACGTAAAAGACTTGAAGAGGAGACTGTCATTTCTAAAATAATGTCTCTCTCTGGGAAAATGCAGGATGGTTTGTCAGAAACTGAATTGTCAGAATTTATTGATCTGCAAACTCAGTTAGACTCAGTTTATAAGAATAAGGCAGAGGGCGCTTTTATTCGCTCTAGAAGAAGATGGCTAGAGCAAGGAGAACAAAGTACAGCATATTTCTTCAGAATGGAAAAAAATTATTTTAGAAATTTAACTATTAACTCTTTAAATTTAAATGGCACAGTTATTTCTGATCCTAAGGAAATCGGCACATTTTGTGCAAACTTCTATTCAAATCTTTATAACTCTAAATATTGCAAAGACTCAGCTTTGTCTTTTTTCCAGTCTTTGAAAGATATTAGGACAATATCTAATGAAGATAAGAACATCTGCGATAGTGATATATCCATCAATGAAATAATTGAGTCTATTGAAGCTTTAAAGAACAATAAGTCTCCGGGCACAGATGGGCTGACAGCCGAATTGTATAAAAGTTTTGCTGTTGAGTTAGCACCTTTCCTGCTTAAAACTTTTTTGGAGAGTATTGCGTCTGAGACACTTCCGCCTACCTTATCTCAGGGATTACTTACTTTAATACCTAAACCTAAGAAAGACATTCTTTTGATTGACAATTGGCGTCCAATCTGTTTATTAAACTGTGATTATAAGATATTAGCTTTGTTACTGGCCAAAAGACTTAAACGGGTTCTGGACTCAATAATAGACGAAACTCAATCTGGCTTCATCCCAAAAAGGCATATTGCTAACAATATACGCATTGTTTTAGATTTGTTGGACTATGATGAACTGATTAGAGATGAAAGTTTTATTCTTTTTTTAGATTTTTATAAAGCCTTTGATTCCCTTGAACATTAATTTATTTTACAGTCCCTATATAAATTTGGTTTTGGTGATTTCTTTTGCAAAACTGTCCGAACGTTATACAAAAATGGAAACTGCTCAATTAATCTGAAAGCTGGTACTTCTCCAAGATTTAATGTGTTTAGAGGGGTGCGCCAGGGTTGCCCGGTATCACCTTATCTGTTCTTGATGGCTGCTCAACTCCGTACTACTTCCCTGTTGAATAGTCAATTGCAAGGGATTAATTGTTATAGTTATGTCTGTTCTGTATCTGTTTCCCTGAGTTTTCCCCGTCATTGTGTATTTGGTTCAGTCCTGTTCCCAGTTTTCCCGCTCCTTGTTAGTGTTCAGCTTATTCACCTGTGTTCTGATTTGCCCCAGCTGTGTCTTGTTCCCTCATCCCGTCTGTGTATTTTAATCCTGTCTGCTCTTTTGTTCATGGTCAGTTATTGAATGTATGTGATTGCCTGTATGTGTACGCTCCTCGAGTTTCTCTGAGATCTAAGTTACCCTAGTCTGTGATAATTAAAGTCTACTGCTGCATCTAGATCCGACTTCCGCCTTTGCTTCCACGCAAATCGTAACATTAATATAGCAGTTAACAGATTATCATAACTCAATTAGCTGATGATACCACACTCTTTTTAAAAAACGACTTACAGATCCCCATTGCCCTTGATCTTATTAAAGTGTTCTCAAAAGCTTCTGGTCTATCTTTGAATTTAGATAAATGTGAACTCCTTCCCTTAAAGTCTTGTTCTCTTCCATTCCTGCATAATATTCCTGTAAAGTCTCAAGTGAATTATTTGGGTATTACAATTTGTAAAGATGTCAATGCGAGAGGAAAGTTAAACTTTGATCCAGTAATTACTAAAGCTAAGAAAAAGTTAAATTCCTGGCTCCAAAGAGACTTGTCTTTACGAGGAAGAGCCCTCCTCGCCAAAGCGGAGGGTGTTTCTAGATTGACCTACCCTGCTCTTTCTTTACATGTGGACAAGACAATTTGTGTAGAGGTTGATAGAATGCTTTTTGATTTTTTATGGAAACACAAGAGACATTACATTAAAAAATCAGTTGTCATAAATAGCTTTGAACAGGGCGGTTTTAACTTTCTTGATTTTGCTTCTCTGAACAATACGTTTAAGATCAATTGGTTGAGGCAGTTCTTGAATGATTCTGATTCCATATGGAATGCTATTCCAAATTATATTTTTTCTAAAGTTGGCAGTCTCCCCTTTCTATTAGTATGCAATTATAATATCTCTAAATTGCCCATCAAATTGTCAAATTTCCACAGGCAGGTGCTTCTGGCCTGGCACTTGATTTATAAACACAATTTTAGTCCCCACAGGTATTTTATTTGGAATAACCATGATATCCGATATAAAAATAAAACACTTTTCTTTTCAGATTGGTTTTGACAAGCGTCCTAACAGGGCGGCCAGAGCTTCT